TTCTGTTTTTCCCTTGTAAGAGCAAGGGCAGCTTGTTTTTCTGGTTGCTTCAGAGTTTAGACATTGAAGGCAGCCAGATAAACTGGACATCAAGGCTTGAAGATTGATTTCAAGATGCCTGAGGATGTCGGCACTAAGTGATGCGCAGTATTCGCTTGCAAAACCAATGCAGGACGGATGGAGTCATCAGTTCTAAATACCAAGCCTAAAAGGAGAGAGCTGCTGGTAAGGTAGACAAAGAGGAAAGAAAAATATGTGAGAAAGAAGGAACATGTCAATAGTAACCCTAACTCAGCCCTAGAAACGGAAGAAACGAGTACAGACGTGTCCATGGTCAGGATACAAACAGATATTTCAAAACAATCGGCGATCATTTATTGGTCCGCGCCATCAGTACCGGTGGAGATGTGGTCCATTTGGGTTCGCGATTGATAGGTTGTTGGAGGACACCGTATGGTTAGACGAATAAAGCACTGCACAGAAGTCTGCGGTCAATCAAAAGGCGACTACCCAGTTGAGTCTCGGATGAGCTGGTCTGCCAATCGTGCTTCAGTGAGGCTAAGAAGTTGTTCGCAAAGTGGTCGACTAGTTAATCTTTTCCTAAAACAGAACACTTATTCTTCCTCAGGAGTTTTGATCTTCAAAGTTGTGGAATACATGTAGTGCTCAATTGGCTATTGTCAGTGACCGCGTGTTGTTACATGTGATTCGGCGTGGAAGAGAGCCCAACGGTACATGCAGATGATAAAGCGACCATCCCATTAGATCGGAAGTCCGAGCAAGTTTAATAATACATTTGAACAATGCGTTTTGCTTTTGAAAATCAGGTCGTGCTAACAAGGGCCTCAAGTTAATTATAGCAGGAATTCGCATTTATGCTAATCTTAAGGTGAAAGTGCTGCGAAAAGACCGTCTCATGTTTCATTTGCTTTGCTGATCTAGATAATGCAGTATATTTTCCTCATGAAAAATTAAAATCTGCGTCCACCAAGGGTGTTCCCTAACGTTCGAGGAATCACAGATCTAACCGCTGACAAAATGCACTCATATGCAAATTAAGTTGGTGTCAAAGAGAGATCCAACCAAACCTGTTATAGTTAGCCGTTGAAGAGTTTTCAGCTAATTCGGAAGTAGCATGTTTTCTCAAGAAAATATACTGCACATCATCAACTGCGCACTGTTTAATGTTCAAGCACAACATATTTGATGGAAACTCGCCGATTACGCTTAGCTGATGAGGTCCTACAAGGGCGAAACTAGTCATGTGCTGTTTCGAAGTTTTCAGAAAACTGACAAGTAGTGCGTATTATTGTTACTGGTTATGATCAAAGCCTTTATTGGTGTCCCTAATAGTTAAATGCACGTGTTGGAATTTTGTTTGCCCACACGTCAATAAACAGTAGTCAGTAAAGATCAACTTCATTTATAACTGCATGATACATCCAGCTCCGTTGGTCTCTCCCACCCTACAAACCACTACATGTAGATGCAGCCTTCAACAAATGGAAATCGAAGGGTTCAATCGCCATATTATGTTTCCTCAGCGCAAAAAAATAAGCAACACACAAGTTTCTACTGTCGTCGTCATCTTTTTCCATCTCACTCGGCGACTATCGCATTTAGATTTTAATTGACCTCTGTTTCCATAAGATAACCACTAAGATCACGTATCCATGGTTATCGAATTTTTCAGGGGCACTCAGCCCACGTCTTGGATCACATTTCAGTTGGTTGTGAATTGCATACATCCCTCAAATCAACGGTGACACCTTGATTGGTGGACAATAATTAACATATTTCATTGGAAATTCTATCAACTGGCACAGATTAACACCTGGCGTGCCTTGAAACCGGCGGTGATGGCCACCTGTCCTAAGTTTATGGCATGTTGAAAGCTAAGGTTTGGGACTGGGATTTCCACGGCCAAAATAAGAAGGAATTTCCAAATTTGCTGCATTTTGATTCGCGTGATTGAATGCTAGCATGCTAACATTGGTTTTAGATTTTTCAACTCGGCTTACTTTCAGTAAACGCCTCAATCTATTTCCCTTGGGGACATAGGCTGTTTCTTGACCGCTTTAAAAGGGAAGGGTTGCATATCTGCACACTATAGCAGAGTAACAGATATACCTCAGTACAAATCACTGTCGAAAAAACAAATCTGACGTTCTCATTTAATAATCAGGGTCTCATACCTCGTAGGAAGAGTGCGTTGCTGGAAAGCAGTATATCATGTCGGTCTTAGGGACCGTTCTCCAAGCTGTCAAATGCGGGAAACTTTAACACAGAGGTAATTTTGAGTAAAGTAGTAAAGAGTTTCTAATAAGTCTTTATCCATCTTTAGTTAGCGGGACAGAGACGTTAGGAAAAATACAATACACACACACACACGTCAATCACCGAAAGGTTTTAAACTACTGGACCAAAATTAGTTTCACCGAGTGACGTGTTCCTGCTTAAAGTTAGATGTGTAGAACAACCGATTAACCTTACTACTAGTGAACGTACTATGCAAGCCAATGATTTTGCTAGACGATTAAACCTTCTGTGTGCCATTTTACATACTCACAGTCGGCCTAGGATTTTCAAATTAGGAAGTAATCAAAGTCTCTTTGAAAATCATCCGGGCATGCGACTAAAGGTGACATTAACGTGGTCGTTATTTTAAATTGGGTGGTTTTTAGAATGCTTGTGAAAGATCCATTAGGTTTATTTATTAATTACAACATCGGTGAAGCCTTCACTTGGAATAGTGTAACGGGTTTAATAGGGATTCTAATGGAAAAAACCTAGAAGGTGGGACAGAAACGAACAAAAACCACAAGTTACGTCAAAAGACGCTAATCAGAGAATTTCGACAAGTGCACCAGAAAAAAAGACGAAAACCGTCGAAGGTTCTCTTAAACGACCATTTATGCGACCGGCCTTCCAGGTTTGACGTACATATCGCATTATGGACATCAAGCTCGAGGGAAAGTCACCCCTCCCCCAATGTAAGCTAAAAGACCATTTCCTAGTAGTGAGCCTCCTCAAAAGTGTTACTATACTTTGTTATCGATTCGATTGGTAAAAATAAAACTGCAAACACGGATGTTTTGGGGCCACTGAAGAAGTCTGAACTAAGCGATGAATCAGATGATGATGGCGGTTGGGCTTCTGTCAGCTGCAGTTTCAACACAAAATATTGCACTCACATCGATTTACTAACTTAGATGGAAGTTTACTTGAACCATACCGACAATATAACTTTGCAGGATGCAAGGTTGAAAGTATTCAAGGGTTTTCTGGTGCAAACTTCGCTTCTTCCGCTTTTTTCATACGCAAGCCAGCACAGACGCTAGTTTACTCAGCCATATTAATATTCCAATCATTGACAGCAATGATCTGCACGGATGTGTGACACTTGCTAACCAGAAAGACTGGATTATCGTGAGGTAAAACCGAATCTGGTGAAAATTTAGGCTAGGCTTTTGTTTGTTGAACTACTAAACACTGAAAATTGTAATCTAAAGATTGTTTGGCGAACTAATTTTCAGTGCCCTGTAGTAGTTGGTAGGTATTTTTGAGGCCAGTGAGGCGGGCTACGAGGACTTGTCTGGGGTCTTCCCTGATTAACTTAATGGAAACCAAATGCAGGTCAATAATAGACCATAAAAGCAGAGTTCATTATGCTAGTGTATTGTTTAACTCCCAACCTTCTGTAAGGTCATTCCGAGTAAATTTATTCTTCCAACCCAACAGTCTTTAGGTGAGCGGAAATGGTGTGGCATTTAATTTGTTGCGCCTCACAGACCCGTACGTTACTGGTAATTCACGGGCACCCGTATTCATCCTAAAGCCGTGGCTAGTGGAATTGACAATCACTCCTACGTTCCACGTGGCTGTCTAAGCATAGGCTACCCAGCGTTTCTAGTTGGCAAAAGCTGATCAAACGCCCGACTTGCTGACCTCAAATCCAAAAAAGTTGTTTCGGGTAAGTTTCTTCAATGTAACAGGTCGATGTTGCGAACATTGGAAGCGCATCAAAGAGGGGGACGGTGGACGACTAACGGTCGGGTAGGCCGACCTCACCTCACCCTTATTAGCGGTGACACTGAGTTTTAGTCAGAAGCCGGAAATTGCGTACTAAATGCGCTTTGGGACACATAAGATAAATGTTTAAGCTGAGTTTTGCCTGAACAAGCAATCGAGGTAACATTTATCACTGTCTTTGCATGCGTGCTTTTTTGTTTGTTCCACAGAAAAGCAGTGGCAGTGCTGTGAAAGCTAAGAAATTTTCCAATGTCTGCCGATTCGCATACACAATTTTGTGTTTATTACAAACATGGTTGCTATTGTCTAGCCATTTTCTTAGATCATAGGTGACATCGTATAACCGTTATCAAACAACTGGCCAAATCTGGTCGACCAAATGGTGACAACGTTAGGGAAATAAGATCAAACAACTTGCATGGGAACGTCACAAACGAGAGATTCAGCTGGGTTCCAGGTGACGAGCAAATAAATTTGACATTATTTGCCACGCATGTGTCATCTTTCAAATGACTGATGATTTTTTTCACAGGATAACCTACTTTCCAGTCTGTCTCATGACCAACGCGATCCGGCACCTAAATTTGTCATTCTCCGCTACTTCCGCTGTTTCTTTTTGGACAAACTGATGACGGTAAAGTCAACAGACGTTTACTACGAAAAGATCTAACAAACCTTGTCTGGTTTGAAATTCGCATCTCAAACTTGAGGATATGGCTAACTTGACGGAATCCTTATTTTGAGGGTTTCACACAGTTATAAGCATCTACCGTAGCGTAAACTCAAAAGATACTTCTCTCAATGCACGATTCACATGCAATTCGTCAAGACGTAAGACCTTGTTACTTACAGGATTTTATACAAGCATTTGCCAAAATACCAACTTCTATCTGACCATTTCCTGAGATCAGAAATCAATGGGGTATATAATGTGGGAATGAATTTTTTGCCTTGAAAAACGGCAAGTTCTAAGGTAATGCAATATTATGTACTGGAGAGGTGTGCCTCCAAAATTGATTTTCTTGCAAATCACTGTGAAATGGGCTATCCGAAAGGGTAAGCCTATGTGTAGGGGTGTTCCAGGAAGGCAGTGCATTCGGTGAATTTATGATATACGGTGACTTTTCGTTTGTCCATCGGGGCCGAGAGAATGAGGAGTTGATCGAAGCGGGGCAGTGTGAAGTCGAGAGATTGTTGGCAGATTGGACAGAATGGACTTCTGGGTTTTGTTCCGGTCGGCGCTGTTTCTCGTCATCATGGAGTGAGCGGATGTTATTTGTGTTGTGCTGTTCGAAAGACCTCCGGAATTCGACCATTTCCCCCGGTTTTGCGTTTGTTGTTAGGGGCATATGAACTTCAGGATGGTTTGCAACACCCGCGTGGAATAACGTCGAATAAACTGAACAACATTGCTCGGTTGGTGTAAGTGTGTTTGGTAGAACCTTTTCGTAGGGGTCATCGTGACCGCCGTTAACAAAACACTGAGGATTGGGAGAATGTGGCCGCCCAAATGATACTGAGGCTGGGGATGATGTATGTATAACAGAGGGATGAGGTATCGTATTGACGTTCGTTTCCAAACAAGGATTGACTTCTCTTGTGGTGTAGACTGGTTCCGGAGAATTCGACGAACTGGGTGAGTGTAAGCGGCGATAATTTTTTGTAGAATATGCAGGATTGAAAGCGAAATGTAGCCTGTTGGCTGGTTCACTGAGGCGATTCACAGGGGGTGTAAATTTGATAGTATCACCCTCGCGTGGGAGAGGTGATCCTGGTGGAGAAAAATTCATCCTGGTAGCCCGGTAATCAATCGGCAGATTTGAATCAGAATCTGCGCACAAACTATTTGAGTTTGATGAATGTACTGCTTGTGCGAGCCCCATGAAGTCAAATTTATAAGCGTATCTTTTCCCATGTACCTTGGTCATGATATTTTTGTCGTAGTAGTAACGCAGAGCACGACTCAGCTTGTCATAATTCATATTCGGTTTGGCCTTTCTTTCTCCCCACCTGCGCGCAACCTCATCCGGGTCGACAAGTTTGAATTCACCGTTTGTCCCCTCCCATGTGATACACGCTATGTTCTGATGGTCCGATAACAGTTCGAGGAGAAACTGCCAGAGCTGAATTTGTCCGGAACCTTTAGAGCAAGCAGGAAGTGATATTCAATGATTGATGTTAACCAACATCATCTAAGGAATCGGGGGTCATTTGCAGTGAAAAATATAAATAATCTACCATTAATGTTTTCCTATTTGCAACATTGTTGTATCACTCAGCAGTGCAGTATCATTTAGGGTGCGGATTTCGTAAAGACACGAGGCCGGTGAATGGATAAAAAGAACTCAACTCTCCACTTTTGGAAATATCTCGGGCGAAAAAAACAGAAATCGGAATGAGTAGCAAAATATACTAGTGTGTATATAAAAGCACAGTAAAAGACATGTCTCGTGATGGGAACTTCGTCGAAAATGTTGCATCATTCTTCAGGAACGATGAAGCCAACGTGAAGATGAAAGCACCGTTGCATTGTTCCAATTTTAGACTAGTGTTAGACGCAGTTTGTTTAATGCAAAACTGCTTGACCTGAGCGAACGACCAAAAACTTAAACTGGATTACCGGTCGAATAGATGGTGTTCGGCTCAAGGTGGTACGATAAGGAAGTGAGCTACAGCGGACAACATTGATCCTCTACTTTCAGTACGCTCAGTATGGACTTGACAGGAACTTACAACCAAAATATCATCCGATTTGGATACGGGGTATCTACAATCCTGGTAACTTTGCCTATCTAACATGTCCCATACAAGCCGATACCGGCGATGCACTGCCCAAAGGCTGTCCGCACCTATGCATTTGGTTAGATGTATACAGCATCTTTCATCCTTACGTAAATGTGACATTTCATATAACTGTGAGCCACACAATGAGGGTACATGTGAACCATCCTGTCTGCCTTTTCGGATCTTCTCCGATCTACTGAAAAATAACGACAGAATATTTGTCAAAATTTACAACATGTTACTTCAGTCCGTAATCCTTTGGTGACCGTGAATTTTACAGTACAACCTGAAACCTACTGTTTCCCTCGACTACCTGAAAGTATACTGTGGGCTAATTAGCTGAGCTATTCTTTGCGGATAGAAGGCAAGCACTATACTCATCTTGTGTCATTATTTTCACACTGATAGTTGTGTACTCTATCTACAACGCGTTAGAGTTGTCAAACCTTTGAAAAATTCCAACTGATAATCGCCCATACTCCTCCAAACAGGATACTTGGGTCGTTTTACTTACATGACAACAACAGGTAGAAGGTTTAGAAATGCTCCAACCCACTTTATTTGTCATTTCGGAAGTGCCAAATTGGAGCGGTCTTAAACTTGACCCGAAATAGATCGACGGATAGTACAGTTCAGAATTCTTGTTCGTCAAATAGCAGTTTCATTTTACATCACATCGATCACTTTCAAAATAGAATAAACCTATTCTACATAGTGTTCGCAGTAAAGTTTGTATACGTCCATTTCGGTCCCGAATGTGTCTTTTTCAAACGCAACCAACCCTATGAGTACTTTCCTCCAGAAAAATATACTGTGATATCTCGAATGTCGTAGCAGCTGAGAATGGGGCAGCTTTTGTGCTGCACACTCACCTCAAGAATATCGCAAACAGACGATTCAGGTGAACCACCCGTGCAAACCACACTAATATGAAAATGACTGCACTTGTTGAATTTTATTCAATTTGGGTGCAATCAGATTGATGGAAACTCGGAGACTGTGCCTACCTTACGAGCTCCAAGAGAGGACGAAACCGGCCGTGGGCTATCAAGTTTTTCCAACAACTTTGTGGATTCGTTTACTTTATGAAATGCGCACAGTTCGAAAACAATAGAACAAGGTGGAAGCCTACAAGCAAGTACTGCTCGCCGCTTTAATCGAATATGCAAAAGGATTTTTTTGTGGAAAACCCTATCACTAAAATTTAAGTCATGTAGCCTTTTCAGACTTAGCAGGAGTATCTCGAGAGTGAGTAGACTCCACATTAAAAGAAGAATATGAAATGTATCCTTTTGATTTGTGATCACGGATTTTTGTATGATAAAAAATAGCTGCACGTGGCCTCATGCATCTGCGAGTATCTTTGTTGTTCACTGGAATACCACAATCTGCTTCGTAAGGAAGAGCAGTCAATACCCACCTTCACAGAAAGTCTAATAAAAAACCAGCCCATATTTACTGGTACACTAATTGATTTCTACCGGCCTCTCCCTCCGGAAAAATAATCGATAATCCTGAAAGCAGGCAGTAAATATCTAATTATTACAGCTCGACCCTGAAAAAATCAGACAATCTGATGGTTTGACTAAAACGTGCCTATTCAAGCCACTATATTTTGTGAGTGAAGTGACACAGCATTCAGTGTGGCCTGATGCTAGCAGAATTGCTTCAGTCTTTCTGTTGACAATTCGAGTTCATCCAACAATCATCTGGTGACTCGTTGGTTTGATTTGGTCCATTAAAATATGACGAGAATCACCAGTGTGTGGGTTATATTGGACTTATCGACGACAAGTCAGGGAGACCTTGAGGTAATTTTTTCAAGTTTGCAAAATCGTCCACAGTGGTTGAAGAACACCAGTAAAAAAGCCAATTCTTGGCAGAGCTGCTCCGAAAACCGACTAATTAGCAGTAAAATTCATGCCAAACATCCCTTACCAATATCAACGGGATTATTCAACTCCTAAAGACTATCTGGTTCTGGGGAGCCAAGAATTTTGTTTTGCTAGTAGCGCCTTTCGAAAATTACACAAGAAGCCAACTTGCTTCCAGGGCTGCTTGGAAGCATTGTCATACTGAAAGTGATGCTTCACTGTTGTAAATCCACGGAGTTTATTTTAGGGAGCTCTAAGGGGAAAAGAAGAAAACTTTGACGAATATAATACACGACACTTGTCTACAGTGATCATGTCTCATTGCCTACGCCCACAAACATTTAGTCAGACAGCCCGGATAATACTAACAGCATGGGTGTTAACAACACTGTTAGGAAACCGTGTCCTGCGATATCTCTTGTCAGGCCTACAGAGCCATGGAAAACCCATCCTGAAAGCTAGAATGAATCAACAGAAACAGACTTTCCGAAAGGCCCCTTTGTACCATTTTTTTCAAGCCACAAGTTGTCCTCCCCAAAGTTGGTGTCGTCCTGGAGCGGACTAGGAACTACCAACAAACGAGGTAGGCCATTTGGGCTGCACAGCACTTGGTGGGACCACAAACGTTTTACCCCTAGGTTACCTGTTGCCCGGAGAACTAATGACCAATCACATTATCTCGCAGGTTCTGAAGCCATTCAAAATAAACAGTGTTTTAGAGATGTCCTTAACCTAAAGACATTTCAGAAACTGAATGTACAAGCCAAAGAACCGATGATCACTCAACGTCTACAAGCCTCGTTAGTTGAGTTTAATAGTGGTCTTGCGTCTAAATTTTAAATCTTATTACAATCAGTTAACTTTTCAGTATAAAGCGTCCAGCTTATGCTCCTGCCTTGCTATTTCGAATTCAGGATGCATATCTTGGACATGGTAGAACCCTTGACCTTCGTATACTACCCACACAACGCCTACAAGTGTGAATAAGCTGCATCTCACATGATAATGGGACTCGGGTATGAGCATGAATTATTTGAATTCAAGAAAGGCTGCAAGTGCATCTGACTGCTGAATGGCCAAGGTCCCAGGTTAGTTACTCTTCGTAGCGAATTGCTGTGAGTAGATTTAAGGAGTTACGCGAACCGAAGGCTACGATCGAAAATTACTTAACACTAACTGTTCAGATAATTGCGGGAATTCATCTGGGTTGCTCCCATTAGTCACTATTTTTATTTTGATGTGGGCTAAGTCAAGGTGCAGAGAAGTCAGATGCCGGCAAATAAATTCCGTCAAAGTTTTACATATGAGTCACAGACATGTTAGAAATTATAACTCTGGACAAACCATCTTCCAGTCTATCGGGTAACCAGAAAACATCAGTTTGAAGCAAAAAACACGAGACTATGGAGGGGGCTGTGTGGAAATTTTTTGCCGGTCACAATAAAGTTATTTTAGGAGCCGGAACACTTCAGGCGTTACTGAATATATTGCAAAAAAATAGACCATTCTTTCAGCATCTACCATATTATGTCAGTTTCGTGTTTCCGTTTTTTTTAGAAACTCACGAGTTATTGACTTGAATCAGGGTTGGTGACACACTCATCTTAAGTTTTTGATACAATACCTCATACACTACTGTAATATCCCGCCCATTACTGTCGAAGTGAGCCAAAAGATGGCCAAGCAGATTGTAAAGGTAGTTTTTCACCACTTGAATCAGGGTTGGTGACACACTCATCTTAAGTTTTTGATACAATACCTCATACACTACTGTAATATCCCGCCCATTACTGTCGAAGTGAGCCAAAAGATGGCCAAGCAGATTGTAAAGGTAGTTTTTCACCATGTCTCGTAAGAGTAAACAGGTACCACTGGTAACCACCCGACCATTCCTGACAACTAAAAGTGTAATCCAACAGAAGTCAGGTGGTCAGAGTCAGCAAACTATCGCATGATCCAAATTTCTATAAGGTGGTCGTCGATACATATCTTCAATCCGTTCAACCAGTGCTGCCAAAAAACTTGTGTTATCAATTGACATTCTTCTAATCAGAATCCACCAACTTAATGGTACTGAGGTTGTTTAAGGGTGTGCAGATCACCTACATTTGGCAGCAAGTTATAACGACCAGCCACCCGTGGAAATGTTTGCAACAGGGTAGCAATTTCACAAGGTACCTCGATGTACGAAACTGGATTAACTAGGTAGTTGAATGCTGCTGCATCCCCATGGTCATCAGGAGGTTTCATTACCACCCACTAGCATCATCACCGTCATCGCCATAAGCATCACGCACAGTACGCTGCCGGTTTAACAGATCTGAGGGAATAAGCCTTCGTATTGTGATGCAAAAGTGAAAATCTGGGTTCTCCAGTTTTTTTTAACTTGGAGCAGACTATATCGACGCACTTCTACACTTTCCCTGATTGGGGTGATCTGTTGAGCATAGTCCATCTTGCGTAGTCCGGAGTTGTGCATTACTGGTTCCCATAAATGAACAAAACCTCAACATATATACTGTAGTGAGGAGTTTCCGCTTGGTGAAAAAACCACTTGGTGTTCATATCGGAAACTGCAACAACATGCTCTGTCCTACGTTCAACTTACGACTCTCATTAAGTAAAAAGGTCCTCAGACAGTTATTATCAGTTATTCTGGGGGCAACCTATGTGACTATTACCTATACAAAACATATGTGAAAAAAAGTAACAGGTGAATAATGCAAGATCTGTCGTTGGAATCCTTCCGAAATCATACCTAAACTTTTGAAAATACATGCACTGCACTGTTTTTATTCAAAACCTTTTATGCATTTTTGTTGTCCCCGTTTAGAAAGCTCATGATCGATTGACATCATTTGCTGAGTCATATAGGTGTCACGCCGAATGAATATAAAAACAGAGATTCAAAAATAATTGTCGGTTGCAAATGTTTTATCTCAGGTTCTGTTCTGTAGGAATGTAGGCTGGTTATAAGAAAACGACTACCCGACATTCGTACGGTTCACTTGTGACCAAATCACAGTCAATTGAACGCAGCGCTTCAATGGTAATTTGGCGAGTCATCAGCTCCAAAAGAGAGGCAGCTCCAAAAATGAAAAAACCGACAGATGTTAGAGAAATGAAAGAGGAAGTATGGGTTGCATTTGACATTTGGTCCCTTCATCCAAAGTTTGTCGACCGCTTGAAGCTATTCAATGTTTGCCATTGTCAGTGAGTCCTTCAGTAGTATTGTTAAAATCGAAAATTATTACAAACTACGGGAAATGTTTATTTCTTGCAAAAAAACGTTTGTTTATGGTTGCATTATTTTAAACAACTAAAACGGTTGAGTAGTTTAATCCCCCACTCACAATTTAGAAGTCCTTTATATGCACTATATATTATGCACATCATGCACATTATTCCGGATCCGAAAAGGTAAAACAGGAAAACTGTAATTGAGAGACACTGAGAGTTTCGACTGAGAACCCATCTAATACAACTGTCTCATCGGTGACCCGGTTTAAACTGGCGCACTAATGGTGACAAAAATTGGATTGTTCCAGTATAATTTTCGCTGCCTGAAGGATTCAAGCAGGCTTGTTCCGCTAGGACTCGAAAAATGAGGTTGATTGTCAAGCTGCCTCACCTCAACTTGCACAAATGACATAGGATAGTTTCTGTTTTTTTTTTGCCATTCCTTCAAAGCAGTAGTAGTTAGATACGTAAAGCATGTATACAGTACAGGCATACAAACCACATAAGTCAACACACAATTTTTAGTGATGCTCATTTAATGCTGATTTTAATGCTGCTCATTCAAGGTGGAATCCCTCATGATTATTACCAAAATTGGGAAGCAAGATGTATACATACTCAGCGCTGTCTTAAACAGCTGTTCTGGTGAGATTGGCTTCATACGGCATGAGAATTATCAACTGCTGTCGGGATGCAACAGAAAGCGCAGTTTATCGGCTTTAGGGCCTTTCAGTCCACAACGATTTTTCAGTACTCTGTGTTTTCTTCGTATACAACTCCAACACAATGAGATAATCTATCGTGTGTTTCGAATGAGTTTCTTCTTGATTAGTTAAGCTCGCTCTTTCACTTTGCAGGATTGCCCTTAAAGCACTGTTTCGTCAAGGCCTCAATGAAAATCCCGATGAACTTTTTTGCGGGGAATATACAGCCTTATGCGCTTTTTGATAGCACTCCATCATACCTATTGGGATGATTCTCGCCACTCGTCAAACACGGATAGGCAATAATTAATTCCCTATGGATTCACTAGTTATGATCTGCCATTGTGGTACCATCCTTTTCCAGGTGACAAACATAGAAAAGCTTGTTTGAAATGGAAGTATTCTTGCCAGTTTCTACAGTTTACCGTCACAGTAGCATGATTCAGTCGCTCACTGTCATTGCGCTGGAATAAACACAATCAAAGCAAATGAACTTATTAACCTACCAATTAGTGAAAGAAAAGGCTGAAGAGTTCATTATGCCAGCTCCTGAAAGTGTTGTTAATCTCAAGTTCAGTGGGCATAGCAATTTTGTATTGGAATCCTCCATCAACTCCCAGTGATAAAAAACAATCCAAGTGATATCATCAGTTCGTTGCTTGGGAGCGTAGTGGAGTGTACCCAACGCATTGGTGATGTCACCTTGCTTGGTGATGAAACGTTTTCAATCAAACTACCCGGCTCAGAGAACAAACCAACGACCATCTGTGTTACCCGTGCTACCAACATTCTCCTCTATATTAAAAAACAGCTTTGTGGAAACAGTTACTGTTGTGTCCAAGTGCACTTTCTACCCGAAATGCAAAAAACTACAACTCGGGGAGTAAATAAACGTGACGCGTAACAGAAGTCAATCCATTCGGATGATGTTAATGAAATCTGGGAGACAAAGAAAGGCTGTCAACGGACAGGTCAGTAGGCGCCTTGCAAGAAGAGTCGTTAATATCGAGGGTCAAAAAGAAGCAGGAACGCCGCACTTGAGCTCAGCATCGGGTAACAAGCTATGCACTCGTGTCAAGGCTATTTTACGGTCAAATGTTAAATGAATCTAGACACTGTAGTGGAAATTGTATTGTTAACTGTTTCAGTCGTTGGAAAATCCATAAAGGCCCCCGAGAAGATGTCACTTCGTTCTTGAGAAAACAGTGTTTCCTACAAAGGCTTATGTAAAAGACCATCAGTTAGTTCGCTGACAGGGTAGGCATGTAGAAACAGGATGGCACAATGAGAACCCAACTGTCAGATGATCCAAAGTTACTAGAGAATTGACAGGAATTTTTCCTGAGATTAATGATTTTCGGGCTAGCAAACACTAATGCAATCATGAACTGAATAGGCCATAGCGCTTATGTTTTAGTATCTTGTAACAACAGTAGGTGAGAGTCCCAAGGGAAACAGTTATTCGGATCAAAAGTGAAAACTAGTCAAATAACAGAAACCGCCTCTGGTAAGAAACAGAGTACTGCGTTAAGTCAGCTGCTGTGCAAGTCTGCAGCCGATTCTACATTTCCTTCCTTCGTGTACGGTACAAAAACAACCATACTTCTCGGTATAAATCAAAAACGCTTCTAAAACCAATGAATCGAATGCTTTGAAGAAAAGCGCCGAAAAATACTAGCAGTGCATGAGCGACACACCGGTATTGGACAACCAATGAAGAGATTTGTTTTAAACGGGTAGCACTTGGGTGCACAAAAAAATTTCGATGGCATGGTATCCATCAACACGGAATGTTTTCCGATTTAGATTAACCATTAACTCTACATGTTTTTTTTTCAGATGAACAAGTTAATCGTCTACGTTAATGGGGTGATTTCAGCGTGTGAATAGAGTGGACCTCTTGTGCGATTCTGCCCAAATGTTTCACTTGAATTGTACAATTGGTACAAACCTTTTTTAGAAAGACATTCTGTGCAATCAAAGTTGATATTTTTCATGAAAAAACCTGAGAACGATTTTTTAAATTCTACTTATCTAGAGTACTCCTGTGAGGACTGAAATTTAAATGGGTGTTACTCACCTGGTGTTTTCCAGCTGCTTCTTCCCAATGCTTCGCTGACAGGACTGTAACAATAACCGGCATATCCATTGGTCCTCCTTTGAGTAATATGTCCTGTAAAAATGTAATGGTGGGCCAGACAGAGGTCACCGGTTGCATAACGCTTAAGCAGAATAAATAGTTTTGTCCACATCTTTCTCATGACTCAAACACGTCTATCAGACACAGCGGGGTATTTCCAATAAATTCTAGCCCCGTGACGTCTTGGACTGTCAGGCTTGAAATCTGAGATTTGGTCTCCTTTTGGTCGCTCAGTCCGCAAAAAATCATTTTTCGCTCGAAAAGCAATAGAAACCTGTGTTCCGGTTTTATCATTGAGATATTCAGAGAAAATGTTTCATCATTTAATTAGACATCAGTAATTATCACGGCTGCCGCCCAGATATCTCTGGATAATTGGGAGTTTGCGGAAGGAATTGGAAATATGAATTTTCAAATCCAAAGTAGTTCGATAAATCGAGGAAATATTCTTAAATAAAACGTAGAATTTGTTTCTCGCTGCATATCCATCTCTGTTCATTGTCTCGGAAAAAGCACTGCTTATTTGCCGAGACAGTCCTGGGAAGTTGAAATGGAATTTACCGAAATGGCGTGACGGACCATTTTCAGTCGAAATTCGGGTTGACGTTCTTCCCCATATGATTTGGTCACTACTGGACGTGAAAAACTCTTTAATTGTATTCGTTTTATGTTTAACTTGTGGTATATCACAGGAGAATTGGGTTCTGAGTTTATGGCTGATGGTGAGACTAAAAGACAAATGTGTACTATGCTTAGGGTAGGATCCATTCGAGAAAAGGTTTCCACGTAGATAAACGGAAAGGTCACTGAATGTCGAGAAGGATCGGTTTGTTCCCTTTGGCACGTGATTCAGTTGACTGACACCTCTGAGTCCTACTATTATGAAGTACTTGCCCACTGCGCTTTGAACCGTGATCCCCATGTATTCTTCTAGTCCGATTCATTCCTAAGTGGATGTTTCAAAGAACATTTGATGTAAAGAGTGAAACGATATGGATCTTTTCAGACGGAGAAAATCCATTTTTCCGGAGTGTTTTGTTTCTGGTTGAGTGGCAACGAATAAAAACACGTGCCATTTTCCATGAAGGTAAAGTGGGGTCAAGAGCGGTCCTTGTGGGACTAGACTTGTTACTTTGGTTGCCACGTGGATTTTTGGGAAACATGAAGTTTTGTAAGGTTTTTCAAAGGTCTACCATGATGCTCTTGAAGAGTTATTTCTATTCAACTTGGCATTCACCGAGACCATTTTCTCAATGCCTACAAGTTTACTGCGGCTGGTAGTGAGGATTCTGTAAGGTTTCGGGATCATGTGGTTGACTATTGAGTGCACGAACGGTTATAATCTTTTTAATTCCTAAACCAACTAGAGTTAGCAAAACACTGTCTAACTAACCAGTGAAAACATGCAATGAGTCCACATATGCCGGTAACAATGTGAAAAAATGTAGATCTGAGTCTACTTGTTGATAGTCCACAGTTGTCGCTGAAAGGACCGTGAGACGTTATCCGCATTGTTATCGTTGTTGAAACCTTTTATTGTCAGTTTTAGGCTCAGCCTTTTTTACTCTCCCTAGACGATACGAACTGTCATGTTGTGCTCAACTTGTTTGGGTAACTAGAATCAGTACGTAAATGAGCCTAAGGTCGCCTAAACAATAAGTTAAACCATTATTCAAATCAATTGGTGTAAACAAATACGGTACCAGAGTAATGACGACTTTGCTGGGAATACAGTACTCGGCTATCTGAAACAGCATTCCCGGTTAGCATGTGTATGATGCTATCAATAGGGGATCGTTTATGATGAGAGTGGCATAAAGTATACAATCTAGTCCCATCCTTGAGTGAATACCGAACTTTGAGTTAGCCTTATTTTTGTTCAGCGAGACTACCCACAGCAAGCAGTCACACGCATTGCAGTCACATGCATTGCTATCGTTGAATGGTCGAATCAGCTGGAAGTGCAAAATCCTTTTAGACCTGAAAAATATAGTCTGAAAATCAACCGCTGAATGATATGCACAGAACTAGGTTTTTAAAGCACTGTTTAAGTATTTCAGCATTTGCACGGAAGATCACGAAACGCTGCAAGCATTCCGTTGTAGGGAACTAAAACACCACTATCGGGCACTTCACCAGCCATTCAGAACCCGCGAGAGGAAATCCATACAGGATACTTCGAAGGGATCGGAAGATATATGAAACGAGGAAACAAAAAAATGAAGAGTCTGTATTTGGACAGAGGTTCACTGGAGTAGGTACTTGATAGTAGGACCAGAAGGAATTACT